CAACATGTGAAGTATTCTCAAATAACTTTTGCTGCACTAAAGAGGACAGAATTATATATTTTATAAAAAATTTTTTCTAAATACTAGAAACAACCAATTTTAGAGATGCTTGGAATGTTACTTTTTTTATGTCTCTGAGACTGCCTTTGCCCACAAGTGTTCTCTCACTCAGAAATATCTCTAAAGTACTTACATCCTAGAGAAAGTTAGATAATTTGCCGTAATTATTATTTCCCTGGGAAAATAACAGCAAGTTCCTTTTTGTTGTTGCTCTGCTTCCGTCTCCCCACCCCCAGTAAATCTTATAGTACATAAATTCCAAGATGTTCACATTCTTTTTAACAATCAAAACTCATTCTATTAAGATGATCAGTGTTATTTTTTACTTTCCTTTCTCCATTGCTGTCTCTGTTTCAAGTATCTTTCTCTCCATCCTTCCCCACCCCACCCCCCACCAAAGTATACAAATACACAGCTTGATGAATTTCATCAAGTAATTTCACATGTAATTCGCATCTGACATTGCTGGCATCCCAGAATCCTCTTCATGTCCCCTGCTGGTTACTGCCCTCCAGTGAAGGATAACAATGTTCCGATTCAGTTTTTTTTTTTTTTTTAAGATTTATTTATTTATTTATTTATATAAGAACCAGGATACAGGCCGGATGCTTGGAAGGGTGAGAGGATTCACCAGAGACAGTGCGGGAAACAGAACAGGCAGACTGATGAAATACCCTGCTGAGGGGAGCAGCTGGTGCGACAGGAGAGGTCTGCCGCTCTATGTGGGACCCTCGCCAGCCGGCCAGTATCGAACCTGTGCTGCAGAGGCTACGGACAGCTTCATAGCGCTGTGCTCAACCACCTGTGCCACCCGGGGAGGCCCCCAATTCAGTTTTATGTAGGAATAAGTAGGAGGATTGAGGACATAACTCATAGAATACCTGTTGGCTATTTTGTTTTGCTGTAAGTTATTCAAGTGGTGATACGGCTTTTTCAAAATGAAGTCAGGGGCCTCCCTGGTGGTACAGGGGTTAAAGTCTCAGTGCTATCAAGCTATTACAAGCCACTGCAGCATGAGTTCAATCCTGGCCAGGGAGCTAATCCACATGGCACAGCAGACCTCTTCTGTCTCGCCTGCCCACTGCTCCCCTCAGCAGTGTATTTCAGTGGATCTGCCTATTCTGTTCCCCACTCTGTCTCTGGCAAATCCTCTCACCCTCTGCATCTCTGGCCTGCACCCCAATTCTTATATGCATAAATAAATCTTAAAAAAAATGAAGTGAAAGATCCAATAAAGAATAAATCAAATCAGCTCTTTTCTGATTCATAGGAAAGATGAACCTTATCAAATTGTACCTCATGATATCATCTAGCCCCTCATTCACTGAAATACACCTTTAGAGCCCCCCAAAATGTGCCTTAGTGAGAAGTACCAGATCACTTTTGTAATAATAGCAACCAAAGCAATGGTTGAGATTTGTATGGCACTTAGCAGATTGATCTTTATCTTATTTGAAGTATCATAAAGCTATACACATTTTTAATTATTTGTCCAACTGTGTTGAGTCTATGATTGTTGACATTCTTCTTATTCAGATAGAATTCCAGATTTTTTTTAGGTGACATTCAGGGAACTAGAATTGGAGTTGTTCTCCTCAGAGATAAGACAGGTAAAGTTTTTTTTGCTTTTTCCCTCCCCATCCCTCAGAAGTAGTTTTTATTTGGCAGCGCAGAGGCCTTGTAATGAATCACATTGCACATCATAACTGGCTGCCTTCCATCTCTGCCAACCTCAGATCAATCTGGAATCTTTTAAACATGGCAAATATAGGTTACATATGAGAGAAGCATTTCCTATTGGATTTGATGACCTCACTAGATTTGGAATTTCAAAAAAAAATTTTTTTTTGGAAAGACAGAGCACTTCCTCCTTCTTGTATGGCCTTTACATGGTCTTTCTGCTGACACTTGCACACAGCAAGTATCTTTATTAGAACGTGTCTCATTTCAGGGGAAGGCATGGGCTGCAGTCTGTCCTGAAGCACATGAGGTGATAAGTCATTTTGATTGATTTAGTCTCTGACTATCTCCCCACCAGATTTTAGTCTCAACCTATTTATCATTTATCCTAACAGATCAAAGTCTGTTCTTAAATGGCAGTCAGTTAAACTAAAATACTGGGATTCTTTTTTGGTTTTGTGACATGGATGATATTGTCACTTCCTGAGGTCCACATGGCCTCTCCACATGCTTGTAAAGATTAAGCAGATGAAGAAAAATGGTGTTTTAAGCAAGAGATATGTATATTAAATGTTTTCATGTTTTAGGAAAAGAAAGATTTTAGTAAGTGTTTTGCAACCATCCCAGACCAGGTAGGTTCACCATTGGATCAGACAGCTTAAAAGGGAAACTTGGAACCCTTGGCATCATCCCCACAGGTTTTTTATTTTTTTTTTAAAGATTTATTTATTTATACAAGAACCAGGTTACAGGCCAAATGCACGGGAGGGTGAAAGGATTCACCAGAGACAGAGCAGGGAACAGAACAGGCAGACTGACTGAAATACACTACTGAGAGGAGCAGCGGGCGAGACAGGAGAGGTCTGCTGTGCCATGTGGGTATCTCACTGGCCAGCCGGGACCGAACCTGCGCTGCAGAGGCTGCAGACAACTTCTCAGCATGGCACTCAACTGCCTGTGCCACCAGGGGAGGCCCACCCCACAGGTTTTTTAATAGTTCGCAGGGGAAACAGCCAGCAGGGAGATAGCAACTTGGGCCCCTGCGAATCTCTATATGCTCTTTCCTCTGGGCTTTCTGTGGCGTTCTCTCATGGTCTCTTCCTCTCGCAGTCATCACTCTCATAGCCCTGCTGTCCCTGAGTGATGCCACCCTTTTAGCCCAGCCTCTAGGCTCAAGTATGCACCCATTTACGCATGCCCACACCAGACTCTAGGTGTCCACCATCAGGCATGCGTGCCCCATGCCCACACTCCCAAGTGCCTCCTGCATTCAAGCCCATAGGTGATAGCCACAGAGGCCAATGATGTAAAAGCCTGACCATCTTCATTTACCCTACACAAGTATTAAAAACTTTTCATATAAATAGAGGAAGAAATGTGAGAGGGCAGAGAGAAAGAAGGAAAAAGGCAGGCAAGACAGCAAAAAGAGGTTGTGCTTTGAAGTTGTGCAGAACTCGACTAGAACTGATAAGAGCAATTTTTTTTCACTTCAGCTTTTTCATCTGTAAAATGGGTACACGACTGTGTGGTTGTTCTGGGAATTCAGCGAGGAAAATACACTGTGACATGTACACTGTAGAAATTCAAAAGTGTCACTCTTGCCATTCCTGCTGTTTTGCAAACTTTATATTCAAAGGGCTTTCATTTTGATCATTGAGCCTTTGGCTTTCTATTTAAAATGTGGCCTTTCTATTTGGAAAGTTATCACATATGTCAGCATCACCTTCAGGAAGAACACTACCAGGGAGACTGCAGTGCTCCCCCCATTTACACAGATGCCTCACTGCTCATCATAAGCAGTAACTGCAAACAGGCGGTCCCTGGAAATCAAGTCTGACTTCCCTTCTGCCAAGTCACAGGCTTTGTGAGAGATTTGTTTAGAGATGGGGTCTCAGATGCCTCTGCATGGCCAAGGAAGGAAGGAAGGGGGTTCAGTCTGGACAAGATCTGATTTCCCTGGGGCTGGCCTGGCCCTGCGCCTTACCTCCCCTTCCCAGGGTCTGATGACCACAACATCTGGTTTGAATGCCTGAGTCTTTGAGCTAATTGGATAGGTCATGGCCCAGCTTGTTTCTTTCTTCCTCTTTATTAACATGTAAACCTCTCTCAGAAAATAAAAATCACGGTGTTTCCTATTTCTAAAGCAGTATCCGGGCCTAATCAGGTAGCAGGTGGACCCAAAGAGACTTTATGGATCCAAACAATTAACTTACCCGGAGCCCCAGCTGATGCACATTCAACCTGGAAACTGAGACGGGCATTACCAGACTTTTCTATAACACTAATGCTTAGCAACTCTTAAAATGTGGTTGTGCTTGAGTCATGAAAACCAGAATGAAGGGGCATTATTATGGTTGCATGCTGCTCTCAGCCAGATATCCTTCTCTGGAAAAATATAATTGCAAAGCAGACTTGAGAACACGATATATACCTGAAATATAGTGCTTTGGGGAAAGTTCTGGGGTTCAGCAGGAACATCCTGGCCTCCAGCTAGAAGTAGGAGGAGGGTAGATAGGGCCTAAGGTGGGAATTGGGTTCCTGGTATGTCTGTTGTTCAGGTGAACCTCAGGTGTCACATGCAACACCAACTCCTCCAGCCTGCGTTTCTTTACATTAAGGGCCATCCTTGCTCAGACTAACACTGGGGAAATCTAGATAATAGCTCAGATCTAGGAAGCTAATCAGGTGGGTTACTTTGAGAATAAGAAGTCTCGCAGTCTTTAATATAGCAGAGGTGGGGCCTCCCCAGTGGCACAGCAGGTTGAGCACAGTGCTGTGAAGCTGTCCGTAGCCTCTGCAGTGCAGGTTCGATTCCCAGCTGGCCACGGAGAGACTCCCACAAGGCGCAGCAGACCTCTCCTGTCTCACCCGCTGTTCCCCTCAGCAGTGTATTTCAGTACATCTGCCTGTTCTGCTCTCCGTTCTGTCTCTGGTGAATCCTCTCACTCTCCCTTGCCTATGGCCTGTACTCCAGCTCTTGTATAAATAAATAAATCTTAAAAAAATATATATGTAGCAGAGGTGGTCAGAAATGCTCTAGCATTTTGAGCATCAAAGCCTTTTTTTCCATCCTATTCTATGAATGAATTTGGGCACACCAGGCTATTCCTGGCACCAAAATTAAATGTACTTCCCAGTAAACCTATGTAGTTTCTATTTTACCTTATTGCAAACCCAGAGATAGATACCTGTCTTAATGCAATCTCTTTTATGTTCTGTGACTTTGCAGTTTGGTGATTAATGCTTCTTTTCCCCCTCAGAACATTGATATCACCAATTTCAGCAGTAGCTGGAGTGACGGCCTGGCCTTCTGTGCTCTCCTCCATACCTACCTGCCTGCCCACATCCCATACCAGGAGCTGAACAGTCAGGAGAAGGTAAGTCACCTTCCCAGTCACTCTGCTTGTCCTTTAGAAAGCACAAGGGACATTTTCTGATTATTCTGCTACATCCCAATGGGGTTTATAGACTTGAAGTGGAAATTAGAGTATTGACACTAGGTATACGGAACCTTTGAGGTATGATGGCACTGTAGAATCCACCCTTGGTAAATACTGTTTTCCTTTCAATATCTACCACTTTTCACCTAGAAAAATGCAGTGAAGACTGGTTTACTGTGGCTGCTGAGTAGTTCCTATCACCTGTTTTACAGAGAAAACCTTGATGGAATCTCACTTTCATGGTGTCAAGACATTGACCAGCATTTTTCAGTCTTTTCCATAGAACTGGGAAGCACCACCAAAAAGAGTTCCCTGCTCAAATAAGGACCTGTACATAAAATCACATTTTTAGAGATTCACAGTGCTCTGAAAGTTCTTCATTTAAAAAAACTGTGACTACAAATAACCCAACATATATCAAATGCAAGAATTGACAGATTTTCCTGTTAAGGGCCAATTGGTAAACTTCCAATGGGTGTCTATCACTGTTTCTCAACTCTATCATTGTAGTGTTAAAGTAGCTATGGATGATGTAAATGAATGAGCATGCTGTGTTCCATTAAAACCATTTACAAAACAGACTTCAGGTCAGATGTGGCCCTCAAGCTAGAGTTTGCCAAACTCTGACCTAGAGCGCCCTACAAAGTCATATTCCACAGTGTTCTTTGGAAAATGCTATGCCAGGCCCTATACTCATTCACTCAACAAATATTTCTTGCCAGGCATCATACACTTGTACACTCATATCTTCCTGAAATGTGAAATGTTTGCCTGCAGTTATGCAAACACACTTACGCTCTTTGTCCTTGAGTCAATATAGATCAGCTGGAAAATAATGAGCCTAAAAGTGTTTGCTTTCACACTTTGCATTCACTCTTTGAATTGCTCCCAGATGACTCTTGTCTCACCCTGGATGCCCAGTGGTTCCCGCCATGCCTGGCCAGTTGCCCAGTGACCTGCCACAGATGTAAAAACACAATGGAATCACCTCACTTTCTCTTGTCCTTATGATGCAGGGTTGAATTTCTTCCTACATGTAGGGTTGAATTTCTTCCTCAAATTAAAATACTGTCACCAGTGAGATTATGAAAGGCTGAAGAACTGAGGAGGTAAAGGAAGATCTTTGTGGCTTCACAGCCTCTCTATCAGCTAGAGCTAGATTTGTGCAGCTACTTCCTGTTTCCTCAGCACCCCCACACGAGTGTACTCTGGGTGGAGTGACAGTTTTGCTCATCGTGTGATGAGGAAAACTCATGAGAGACTCTGAGGAAACTCACAAGAGACTCTCATCTCTGTATGTTACTCATGAGGGTTTTCAAGATAACGTGCCACACAGGCAAGTCAGATCAACAAAATAGAAAGCTGAACATGTGTGAAACTCTACATGGAGGAAACTTTACTCAAGGAGAGAGCAATCAAGGGAGGAAAGGACTCCTAGAAGAAGCACGTTTAAGTTGGACTTTAAAGGGCCAACTGATCTGAACAAAACACACACTCCCCTTCTCCCAGGGGTGAGTGGAGCTTCAAGTTCGAGGTTGGTCTAGTAAGCTGTCCATGTTGGGTGCTTTATTTTTGTTTTTTGGTGTACACATACATCGAAAAGTGTGCCAAGAGTGACCCATAATGTTTTTAAAAACCTATTAAAAGAAAAATCTGAAAATTATATGGTATAGCTGATGATAGCCCAGAAAGTTCAGAGGTCATGTCCTGTTGCTACCTAGATGGACCTAATTTAACCACACAAGTTCAATGTCAATGTGAAATAGGGAATTTTTGATGAAACTAACAAGAATGTCTTCTAAGACATTTGAGAGATACACAATCACAGGGCGTGAATTACAGTCAATGAAAGGTTTAGCATCATTTGATAAAAAGCACATTCATCAATCATCCTGGAAATTTCCACTTGAGCTAAACCTCTACCACTTCAGGTGATAGAATGGGGGTGTCTGTCAGTGTCTAAAACAAAGTATTAACATGACAGGAAAAATTCTCGACTTGGTAGGTGTGAACTCTTCCAGCAGAAACCCTGCCAACCCGGCCAGCAGCAGTGTTCTCACATGGGCTGGGGACTTGCATGGTTCTGGAGCCAACATTTCTACTTGTTCCCCAGCCCAGCCAAGCAGTGACTTCTCACTCCTTTCTGCTCCCCACGAGTATCTTTCTCCTATCTCGCCTTCTCATCATGGCTGTGAATGTCCCAATGAAAGAGAATTAAGATCAATGGTGGGGCCTCCCCAGTGGCGCAGTGGTTGAGCGCTGGGTTACAAAGCTGCCCGCGGCCTCTTGCAGCGCCGGTTCGATCCCCGGCTGCTCCCCGGCCACCGGAGGAGGGTCCCACTTGGCGCGCAGACCTCCTCTGCCGCCCGCTGCTCCCCTCAGCAGTGTACTTCCGTCCTTCCGCCTGCTCTGCTCCCTGCTCTGGCTCTGGTGAATTCTCTCACCCTCCCGTGCTTCTGACTGTACCCAGTGCGTGTATAAATAAATAAATAAATCTTTAAAAAAAAAAAATAAAAATAAAAACATTATAAAAAAAAAAAAGATCAATGGTGGTTGGTCACTCATGTCTTGCTGCTGCCAAAATGAGTAAAAGTTATTTTTATGACCCAAAATCACACCTCTCTTAATGTCCTGTTTTATACCATATATTACTTCAGGTATTTTGAGACTATTTTTCAGTATTCAGTAGGGACTGTTTTTGTTTTATTCAGTATCTGCTTAGAAAACATCAGCAGTTTCATTTAGAATCAGCCTAGAGTATTCAGGGGAAATTCTGTATAAAACCGTAAGTTTAGAAGTGCTTTTCCCTTAGACCTTCATAGTAAGCAAACAAGTTAAAACAGTAAAGTATTATTTTTAATATTATTATTGCTTGGATTGTAAATTGGTGTAAAATTTAGAAAGAAATTTGGCATTACATATCAAAAGCAGAAAAATGATTATCTTAGTTTCTGAAATAATGGTAATCTCATAACTGGCTTACCAACCTCCTTCATTCCTAACACTGGTGTCCTAAACCTAAATTCCACCATGAATGTGTGTGGAAACATCCAGAAACAATTCTCACAGACACCAGCAGGGCATCGAAATGCAACTAAATTCTGACACGTTCTACTGGGAGATAGATTCCACAGGTTAAGGACTTAGTCTCCTGAGACCCTCCACCCCCTTCCATATCAGATGCTAGTTGCAAGGCCAACCTTTCTGGTGACCAGCTGGCTACAGATCAGCAGTTCCTATAGCTACCCTTGTTGAGTTTCGTTAATTTGCCAGAACAGCTCAAAAAACCTGGGAAAACCATTTACTCCCTAGATCACTGATCTATTAAAAAGAATAAAACCCAGGAATACCAAGATGAAGAGATGTGTCAGCAAGGTATGAGGAAAAGTGGACCTTTTTCTTAGATTGTATTTTATTCATGTGCCTCTGCTTTCAATATAATTGGGGGTGTGATAAAGGGAAAAATGAGAAACTGCAAGAAGTTACAGCCCAAATATACAGCCTTCCATGTTAAATCAGAAAGTCAGTGGGCTACAGGGAGATTATTTTGAATTATAAGCAATCGTCAGAATGAATGAGAAGCTAAAAGTGAGGAGACCTACAGTTCTCCCAATAAAAAAATTCCAAACAAGCAGAAACTGTAAAAAACAAACTTTTAAAGGTCCAAATTTAGAATAGACTATTGTGTGATTTTGAGCATTTGGTTGAGCTACAAAGAGAAAAGGCCTTTTGAAAATATATTTTGAGTGGCAGAGGATGAGGACTATGGAATTACAAAGAGATGTAATCATAGCACACTATATGTAAATGCTGTCTATTGTCTTCAGCTCTCAGAATCGCCCTCTTAAAATGTAGACAGTTTCAATGTGGTTATAGAAAAGGAAGCAAAAGATATAAGTTTTAACAATTTTAAAGTAAAACTTGACAAGATGGAGGGAAGGCAAAGGGAACATCTTTCTTATGAGACAAATTAGAGGCAAGAAGTGCTAGTCAGGGGCCTCCCCGGTGGTACGGGGTTAAGACGCAACCTATGAAGCAATCCGCAGCCACTGCAGCATGAGTTTGATCACCGGCCAAGGAGCTACCCACATGGCACAGCAGACCTCTCCTGACTTGCCCGCTGCTCCCCTCAGCAGTGTATTTCCTCAGTCTGCCTGTACTGCTCCCCTCTCTGTCTCTGGTGAATCCTCTCACCCCCCACACCTCTGGCCAGTACCCCAGTTCTTGTATACATAAATAAATAAATCTTTTAAAAAAAATGCTAGTCAGGGGCCTCCCCGGTGGCGTAGCGGTTGAGCGCTGGGTTGCGAAGCTGCCCGCAGCCTCTGCGGCACCGGTTTGATCCCCAGCTACTCCCCGGCCACAGGAGGAGGGTCCCACATGGCGCGCAGACCTCTCCTGCCGCTCGCTGCTCCCCTCAGCAGTGTACTTCGGTCCTTCTGCCTGCTCTGCTCCCCGCTCTGGCTCTGGTGAATTCTCTCACCCTCCCGCGCTTCTGACTGTACCCAGTGCATGTATAAACAAACAAACAAACAAGCAAACAAACAAATAAATAAATAAATAAAACATGCCTCTATTAAAAAAAAAGTGCTAGTCATAATTGATGGAGCAAGAAATGAAGGCTTAAGGATATTATTTGTTACAAACATAACTAATAAAGAAGCTAAAAAGTAAGCCATTGACTGTAATGAAGGGAGAGGAGAGAAGCATGATACCTTAAATATCTTTTTTTTGAAGAGCATGATGCCTCTGTTTTAGAATCAGTAGTGGTGTAAGCATATTACAGAGATACAGAGGTAATGACCAGAAGAACTAAAGAGAGAAACTGAAAGTGGTTCTAAGGAATAGGATTGGTGGGGAACAGATTGGTGGGGAACAGCTTTTAAATTGATTATACCTATTTGTACATGTAACATATTACGTTTTTTATATGGGGCCATGATTAAATAAGCAATAGTTGATATGCAACAGAATGAGTATGTTATAAATCTTGACAAAGTAAAAAATAACCAAAAAAAAAATTTGAGCATTATGAATCTGTGACAAATTAGTGACAATTGTAACCTGTTGATTTTTCTTTTTTCCTTAAACTGAGATCAAAGTTTGCATATTTGACTTAAATTTTTAAATGTTTTACTATAGTAATCTATATGAGAGTGTCATTTGGTCTTCTTTCCTAGAAAAGCTATGCATTTTCAGGCAACAATTCTAGTCTCTTTGTCTTTTTTAACCTAGAAAAGGAATCTCCTGTTGGCATTCGAAGCAGCTGAAAGCGTTGGCATCAAACCCAGTCTGGTAAGTACCCTGTTTCATATCCTTGTGGTCTTTGCTCTGATTATATGAGAAAGAACTTCATGCCATCTACTAAATAATTTCTTATGGAATATTGAAGTCCATTTGCTGATGATTTGGTACTGATGATCCCTAATATAAAATAATCTAGTTGGTGACCACATGTAATTTCATTTCTCAATGAAGATTTTATTGTGGATAAATTTCAGTTCTGGAAACACAGTGGACTGAATTCCCATTAAATCCCTCTTTCTCAAGTCACTTAGAAATCTGAATAAAATGTAATTTTTTGAAATGTCAATATATAGCTGAGCTCTGATGAAAGAGTGGGAAATAACCAGTTGCCAGAAATTAAAAGAGAAGTGGAAACGAGAGCCAAGAGGCATGGGCTGGGGTGATCGTGGAAGGCTCATAATAAACAGGTACCTAATTGGGCGTAGGCTCTTTTTGAGGTCCACACAGGAACAAAAGATGAGGCCTGAGCCTCCATAAACAGAGCATTAGTACTGAGACCACTCAGTATGAGCCCACAAAACCAGGGCTCACAGAATGTTGTTCTTTGTGGTGAAAGGGAAATTTAAAAACTGCACCTGCCTGTTCAAGGTCCAGGGACATGATAAGGAAACCTAGTCTCTACCTCAGATTTTTTTCATTGCCAAATCAGGGGAAAATCTGTATGACTTTTTTTCATCTTATTGCACTAGCTAGAACTTCTAGTATAGAGTTGAATATTATATATGCAAGAGAGGACATCCTTGCTGTGTTCTTTTTTCCTGATCTTGGGGGGAAATGTTCAGTCTCTCACCACTGAGTATGATGTCAGCTTTTGATTTTTAATGTACGTGTGTGTATAGTATATATGTGTGTATATATATGTATAGTAAAGAAATTCCCTGCTAGTCCTATTTTTTTAGATTATTTTATCATAAATGGTTGTAGAATTTTGCATAACACTTTTTCTGTATCTGTTGATATGATCATGTGGCGCTTTTTAAATTTAGTTTGCTAGTATGAATTACATTGGTTGATTAATGGATGTTGAACCAGCCTTGCTCTCCTGGGATGAATGCCACTTGATCATGATTCAATTGCTAATATTTATTAAAGAAGTTTATGTCTATGTTCATGTGAGAAATTGGCCTGTGTATTTTTTTTAAAACTAACCTTTATCTGGTTTTGGTATTAGCACCATGCTGGCCTTGGAGAATGAGTCAAAGTATATGTTCCTCTTCTGTTTCCTGGAAGACATCATGTAGACTTGGCATTATTTCTTCCTTAAGTATTGTTTTTTTGTAGAATTAGTGAACCATTTAGGCCTGTTGTTTTCTTTTTTTGGAAGCTTTTTAGCCACTAATTAAAATAAGTGTCATGTATTACCAGATTTTTATTAATGCACTATATTCTTTCTTCTCCTAAATAGTGTTAAATTATTTCTTCAAACATGTTCAATGTGCTGTTAATAATATGAAAAAAAATGTTTTCAATTTAATCATCAGGTTAAGTCATGCAAAGTAATCTGTAAAACTATGAATAGTACTTGAATTTCCAGCTTCTCTCTGAGATTGAAAATACATCTTTTCCATCATATAAAGGAAGGTTTGCCACCTCCCTTGCATTTGTAATATCCCTTCTTCTCTCACCACTCATCTTTCTCCTAAATAACAAGGTCAATTCTTGATCACTTCTTTTCTATGTCATTATATTAGCAAATCTCCTATTGTAAGAATTGTAGCTTTTCATGCATTGTCTATATGCACAGTACTGACTTTTTATCTTGTATTGTATGTGATCTTTGTTTTTCTTTTTAAATTGTGTTAGTTGTATCTGTATGGAATGTTCCGTTTGCTCCTTTTCCACCCCTTTCCCATGACCAATGATAATTTTTTAGTATAACCAGAGAGAAAAATCAGTAAAGTATATTTAGATGTTGTTGAAACAGAGTAAATGACTGGCTTCAGCTAGTTTTGTCACCTGCCAGGAGCAGATATATGTAAGTTCAGCCTTTTTTTTCCAATACATCTCTGCTTCTGGTTTTACATAAATCAAAGTCCTTTCCTACTGCCCTTTGGTTACCACCAAAGACTCCAGATTCAGCCCCTCAAGTGAATTATTAAATATGTTGAGTGGCACTAATTTCAGGAAAGCTTGTTTGATGCCTAGCACACTGTGGGCTCTGCCTTCTGCTTGTTTGTTGCCTACTAAATTAGGGAAGAAGAAGCAAACAAATAAGTAAAACCATTAAATAGTAACACTTAATTCTGGTAAAACAAATGGTTGCATTTTAAACTGCTCAAGGCTTTGTGGTAATCCCATTCTTGGGAATTTATCTCTGGGCACATTCAACAGAAGGAAACAATGCTGCAGCAAGATGCTCTTGGCAAAGTCTGTCTCTTCTACAGTGTTTGTCCATAAAAATGACAGCCAGCAGCACAGCAGCATAGGAAACTGCTGCTTGAAAGTGTGAAAAAAAAAGTCACAGAGAACAAACACACTTGAGTTCCACTGTGGTAGGAACTTTGGAGGACTAGGTGTACATTTGGTGTGACTCAGAGAAGTGGAAATTGTTTTATAATAATAGAATCATGGGTGACTCTTGAAAATTTTTTAATGTTAAAAGAATAAAAGGGGCAAAAGGTCATATTTTTTAAAGGGACAGTACCTGCACAAACAGGAAGAGAGGGCTCTTTTTTTTAAGATATAAATAACATGCAACATTATATTAATTTTAGACGCGCAACACACTGATATGCTCTGTGTGTGTGTTATGAAATGATCTCCACAATTACCTAGCCTCCATTACCACACAGTTACATCTTTTTTTCTGTGATGAAAACTTACAAGATCTCTAAAAGCAGCACTTCCCTTTTGACTAACCACTGTTAACACAGGCCTGGTGTTGCCTGCTCCTTCTGTTCCTGCAGGTTTCTTGGCAGCAGAGCGCTGACCTAGATCTGAGCCCCTTCACAGGAAGGGGTCTGTGGTGTTCCCCCAGTGACTGCCTTCCTTCTCCTGCAGGAGCTCAGTGAGATGCTGTACACAGACCGGCCTGACTGGCAGAGCGTGATGCAGTATGTGGCCCAGATTTACAAGTACTTTGAGACATAACCCCAGAGGGCCCAGAGCAGCCACCACCGCCCGCTGGACGCACCCAGTCACTTTCCATGAGCCCTGTTCCGACCACCACCTGCCTCCTGCACTTCAAAGAAAGACTCAACCCAGGGGACCAACACACAAATAAAGTGGGCTCCACCCTGCATCCACCTTAAATCCAGCCCCTTTGGATTTAAGGGGAAGCTGTGCTCTCCCACTGGGCCTTCCTCCTTCCAGAGCCAGGAGTCCATGCCAGACTAGTCCCACGAGGACCCAGGAAAACATCTCACGTGACTGTGACTCCATGTCTGAGCTGCACTGAGACGCAGGACAGAGCATTTACAGATCTGTTACCTTTTTACTAAATATCCTGTCTTTTGCCTGTATAACAACTCTGCTCTTTCCCCCGCCCCTACCATTCCTCTCAAAAAGCAAAACAAAACAAAAACACCCAACAGAAGACAAAGAGACAAACATTTGCTGTCCCTTGGACTGGAAACACACTGAGTCCTGCCTTTTAGGAAACAGGCTTACATTCCAGGTGACAATTTAACATCCAGAACTTGGTTGTAACTTTCAGATCTCACCGTCATCTAATTGATTCGTTGACTGGAATGTAAAATGTGAGAATGCGCAGGAGGCCCTGAGTATTTGCTGCGATTTCCTTGTGTGGTGTCCCACTCATAGAAGGTGCCTCTTGTGTTGGAACACACAGAGTTCTCAGTGGTTGCTTACATGCTGAGAGGGAAACTCCGTGTGCTCACACCCCCACTCACAGCCACACCTTTGTTCATGTGCAGAGCTTGACAGAAAGCCACGCATGTGTGTGAAATGACCGGGGCCTGCCAGATCTTCATGTATTTGCACAGGCTGGAAATATGTGTTATTTGGGATCAGGGAAGACAGCAATATTTCAACTCTAACTTATTTTTCACTGGTTCCTCAGGCCTTTTATATTTGCATTTCAAAAGGAAGCCCTTGGGTGGGCAGAGATGGCACCTACCTGCTGCACCTTTGGTGTCTGTGTTGGTCAAATAAGTGTACATTGTATAGCAAATGAGGGTGCAGTTTTTGCAGGTAAATTCAGTGCCCATCACTTTCAGGTGTTGGAGAGCTGTATGTGCCCCTCTGCAAAGAGTCATCCTTACTTCAAGGAGCCCACATCTCCTCTGAGACCCTGTCTTTACTTAGAGGAGCTCTCTGACACCTGCTTGGAGCTCCTCCTGGAAGAGGCCCGCACTCGGCCCTCCCTGCAGGACAAGGCCCCCTTTGTGGAGGTGGCAGCTGGGCTCTGGCTGCAAATCCATCCCTTCCTCATTTTCCTCTATGGCTCTAGTTCCAAATCACCTGGGGAATTTGCTGACTACACACACTCCTGGCTGCCCCATCAATCGAGTCAGAGTATCTGGATGACACCAGTAAAATAATGTATATATTTTCAGAATTCCCCTGAGAAGCACTAAGAGGAGAAGGTGCCTTCCATTGCCCCCCAGAGCAGCACAGTGGAGAGCAGGGCACTCTCCTTTGGCGTGAGTGGTGTGACTACATAATGGACCTCTTTCCAGGTGGATGCTGGAGTCACTGTCTGAACAGATTTAACCTGCTCCTTCCTGATGAACTTACCCATCTGAAAGTCGTGACTTGCATTGCTTCATGCATCTGTCGTTTGTTGATGACTGATATTTTCCTTATCTCTGTGCTTCTGCCTCAGTCCCCATCACAGTGGAAAAGAGCAATATTTCAGGTTGTTGGGTTTTGGGTTTAACCTGAGCTGTTGGTGGTTATGTTTAATCTGGACTTACCAGAGAGCTTTGTGCAGGAGAGACAGCGAGGTCTTAGGGTACCTGGAGAAAGTATTTAGCATGACCTGCACCCTGTTTTTAGTGATCTCTGTAGACGATTCAGAATGAGCGCTGGGCACAGCAGTCCATGGTGGTGGCCTCGCCCTTCCTTCTCTTCCCTAACCCCCACCCCGGTGCCTGCTCCTTCTGGGCTAAAAAGAAGGAAAGTAATGTCATGTGACAGAAAGGCTATGTGCAGTTTCTTTTTATAACCCTAGGAAATTCCGTGTTTCTTTGCCAGTGGGTGTGCCTAGAGAGGAGGAAGCTGTGTCCTGGTCACAGAAGCACAGGTGGTTGTGGGCAGGTCTGGCCCCGAGGGTGGCAGTGAAGGCAGCACCAGGGCCTGGAGGGAAGCTGTCCAGATCTGTTTGGAACTGGGACATCGAGAAAACAAGGTAGCAGCAAGTTGTTCACTCCTAGTTTTCCATCCTGAGGCTTTCCGAGGCTACAAAATGCATCTTTCTTCTTCAGATGAAACTTAGTCATTTAAAATTATTTGGTGGTTCTGCAATTGCTATTTTAAACAATTTTATGTATGATGCAAAATGCAAGACCCAGAAGAGTGGAGGGGTTGTTTTAAGACATAAGGAGTAGCTCATGGTGAGTTGTGAGCATGGTGAGTCGTGAGCATGGTGAGTCAATTCAGACTTGAACTTTAATTGACCAATGTTAGTGCCACAGCCCCCACCCCACTGGGTCAGCATTCTGAGGAACCAGGCAGTCACACTTCCCAGCCTTATCTCCTCTCACTTCAGAAAGGATGTTAGTCTTTTGTTTTTATTCTTCTTTCCATTGTTTGGGAACTTCTGTTGACACCATTTTAAGTAGGTGCAATAGGTGTTAGAAATCACTTTGCAGAGTGACTAGCCAGTGTCAAGCATCTGCACCTACCCATCTCCACCATCACCTCCAGAACCCCCTCAGAGGAAGGCAGGCATTTGTCTGGCAAGGCACAAAAAGGACTCAGCTTGTTAACTACAAACTCATTTGCCAAATCTAGAAGTAGCTATTGCCTTTTCAGAGTTTGAGTGCCATTTTGAAATGAACTACCATGAACATGCTGTAAAGGATATAACCTAGCAATCTTTTTTTTAAAGTATTTTTAATATCTCATTGCCCAAGTTCACTGGATGTTTCACTTCTCTAACCCAGATTAGAGTTTGGCTAAATCTGTAACATCCTGAGTAGCTCACTGATTTTAACTACATTAGTTGAATGCAGTTTATACATCTGTGTCCTCACTTCTATAAAGAGCACACCAGATTGTACCAAGCATTGTCAGATATGACAAGCCAGCATAGATGTATTAAACTATTAACACACAAATGTACAATGTATGACTGTGTAATATTTCTAATAAATATATTTTGTTTCTGTCTGATTATGAATTTTCCAGGGATAGTTGTCATTAATATTTTCTCAAAGTACCAGGCTTAATTTCCATCTGTTTCAAACCAGTCTTCATGTCTCAGTTCCTTGTTGGGCTTTGGTCTTGCTGATGTTACTGGAAATACCAGAAAGGACTAGATGCTAATGGTTCCTGCCATTTGATGTGACTAGAGTCTCTCGTGAAAGTCACCCTTCGGAGCCCAAACAGGATGCTGCAGAGCTGCACAGATGTGCTCACAAGAGCCTGACCAGAGCTGCCCCTGCTTAGCACATGTCCTGTGAGTGAATGCTGAGACCTGAACCATACTTCAGCTGGTGTTAAACAGGAAGAAATTATGATAATATTGAAGAGGCAGAGTTAATGGACACAGCTAGGGGAAGCCAGTTCACCTGGTTCATCGGAGTGGCTGGTTCATGCACGCTGGTTCATCAGAGTGGCTCTTCAGGCATCTCTCGGGTGCCACTGCGCACTGCCCACTGGGAAAGAGAAAGAAGACTGCCCCTCCTAGAATCTCACATCTCCCGCTTCCCTCAGGGGAGCTCCTCTGTTAACTGCCTCTTTCTCCAAAATGCCTGTCTGTCTAAAAATAGCACAGCCTCTAATAAGTCTTAACACAGTCAAGCCAGGACAGCGGCCATCACTCATCTTCCTCCGGGCTGTGATATCAGAGGAGATACCAAGTTCAACATCCTGTTGCCCACAGCTATCTTAGTCTGTGCACATGCGCACTCACAGGGATTTGGTGGAAGGCCAGTGTCTCAGCATTTGAGAATCGATCCCTTCCGTAGTTTGTGGTGGTTTGGGGACCACCAGGGAGCTCGCTCTTGGGCCTAGAGCCTCATCCCTAGAAATCCTGTCTTCTGTCATAGCCCCTGCATATTGAATCGGAAATCACACAGAGAGCTTCTCCTGATGCACAGAAGGCCCACTGTGGTAGTGGCTCTGCTGCTGTGGAGGGCTGAGGACACCAGGCCAGGCCCCGTTGGCACTCAGCCACTTCCCCTTCTCTAAGTGCTTTGGATGCTTCTGCTTCTCCTTATTATCACTCCTTACTCAGCTTCCTGAAGGCAGAGCCATATATCTGTTCAGATGCCTCAACCTTATGCATAATTGTTGACAGATAAATGATTTTTAATAAATTGGTAGAGCCATCCAGCTACCATGAACTCTCATTCCTTCTTAGAATTTCTCATGGAACTCTGGGGAAGAGACACATCCAGCCTGGTTTCAGTGCTTTAGTTGGTCTTGTGAATAGTCATTGCCAGCAGTTTCCAGCTTGATAGGAAAAAAATCCCAGAACTGCACTTGGAAAAGACCCCTGGGGAGAAACTTGAAACTTGATGTCCTGAAGACCTTCATCATGTTTCCCTCTCTCTTCTCTAACAATCCTTGTTACCACGAATAAAATGACCCATTTCCCAGCAGAATCTCAGCCCTCCAAATGCTCTAAATGAATTCAATCTAACTTAACTTTCCTGTCCTATTAAAACCTCAGTGATATTTTTGTAAATTATGAAAAATAAGCCATAAAAAGATTTGGCCTGGACGTCACCCCTCTTTGCTTGTCCATCTGGGATACTATTTATACAACTCTGTAAGCCATATCATTACCATCCTATCAGAAAAATAAAGCAAAACAGAAAGTGGTACATGGGAAAAGTTAACCACCGCTTTATTGCTGCACATGACTGAAGGCTGGGCCACCTTTTGAGAATTCTTATCCTAGAAAACATCCCAGAGATAATCAGAGCAGGGCCAAAACAGAGTCTCAGACCTTCTCAGGGCCAAGGGCACCTCCCTGCATGCTGACAGTTGCTACGAGCAGACTTGCAGGCTCTCCCGGGCCCTGGGATGCTTGTGGCAGCTATACGCGGTAGCAGAGAGGCATTCCAGACACATTTAACTCCCACAAGCTTGACTGCCTCTGGGAAAAAACGAGGCTACAAAAAGTGTGACTACTGTCACCTTCCATCCCAGTCAACAAGCTGGCCTTGTTCCTTGAGTTCCTGTCAGTGGCTCACCACGTGAGTATTTCATGACACTCACTGTGATTTCAGTGTGAAATGCTGTGTTTGTTTGTTTGGGGTACAATGTGGCCCCTAATTGCAAACCAACTACTTCATCTGATGCTCATGCCCCAAGGAAACACTTGTCTGTGCCTACCCCTCCCCACCAATCCCATTGCTGGGGTCAAGGAACCTCTAGTTCTTTTTTTTTTTTTTTAAAAAAAGATTTATTTATTTTTATACAAGAGCTGGGGTACAGGCCAGAGGCGCAGGAGGGTGAGAGGATTCACCAGAGACAGAGAGGGGAGCAGTACAGGCAGACTGAGGAAATACACTGCTGAGGGGAGCAGCGGGCGAGACAGGAGAGGTCTGCCACGCCATGTGGGTATCTCCCTGGCCATACTGAAATCAAACCCGCACTGCAGAGGCTGCAGAAAACTTCACAGCACTGCACTCAAAATGCTGCACCACCGGGGAGACCTGGAACCTCTAGTTCTTATCCCTAACTTGCCTTTCCTACAGCATCGTAATCAATCTGCAGTGGCTATTGTAACAAATGGCTGAAAACATAGTGGCTGCAAACAATATAGGTGTATGATCTTTCAGTTCTGAAGTTCAGAAGCCCAAGATGAGTCTCACTGTACTAAAATCAAGGTGTCAGTAGGGTGGTGTTCCTTTCTGGAGGCGCTCTGGGAGCATTTCCTTGCTTTTTTCATATTCTTAAGGTCACCCACGTTCCTTCGCTCATGACCCCATCCTCTGTCTTCAAAGTCAAAGCCAGAAATGTTGGGTCTCTCTGACCTTCTGCAGTCACATTCCCTCTGGCTCTCTGATTTAAGAACCCAAGTAATTAGATTAGGCCATTTTCCTCTATCTCACTCTTAATCCCACCATTCCTCTCGCCATGTAAGGTCACATATTCACACAAATCTTCAGCTTGGACATCTTTGGGGACCATTATTCTACCCACACAGTCATCTTTTCTATGGCCTCTCATTAGTAATTGGTGGAATCTTTTTTTTTTTAAATTTCCTAGTTAAAATTACCAACTAAAGAGTCACATTGGGCTGTCATTGGACCTCCTCACCAGCTTCTTTGGACACTTTTTTTCATGTCAGATACTTTTGTGGGTCACTAGCTAGTCAGTGGTTAGCTGTGACCATGACTGGTCAGTGGGGGTGGGTGTCATATGGGTCTGTGTACCAGGGCCATCCCCTTCAAGAACACGCCAGCCCTCTTGCAGACAAGATCTGGCTCTCTCCAAAGGCTATGACTGGGGAGGCCGCATGCTGGCATCTTCCCTGGGATGGGAATCAGGCTTCCACACATTTATGGGTGACAGAGCCTTGTGCTCCAGTTGCTGGAAACCCAGCATCAGTGAGGGGCTGAGGAAGTCCCACATCCAAAGAGCTTGGGACACCATTAAATCAGGAATACACTAGGTCATTTACATAGAAGGAAACTGTGCCACAGAAAGGTGAGGTAATTTGCCCAAGATAACTGGATAAGCTTGGAGAAGACAAATCAAGAATGGACCCAAGCAGTGTGGCCCCAAAGCCTATACTTATAGCCATCGCTTGGTACTCTGCTCTCTGCCACCTGTCTCAGGAAAAGCACACTGGGTAATGCGATTTAACACACTTGCTGTGATTTTTTTATTTGAAAAAAAACTAAATCCTGCTAATTAAGATTAGAAATAAGTTCTGCATCTAGACTGATCTCAAATGCATCTTAGCCAAAAGGGCATTTTTGCATATATTTCTTTATCTAATCACAGACTGAACAAGTCACAACATTTATGTTCAGAGCATCTATATTCAAAGGCAAGTCGAAAACCTTCCCAGAACCAACCTCCAACCCCCTAAGTTTCCATCACATTGGTCAAAATGGTGTCACATCACCCCCATCCAACCAATCACTGACTAAAAGGAAGGAGCTGCTCTTCCTTCCCTGACTTGCCCTGGGGTATGGGAGGGGCCTATCTTCCCTGGCAAAGGTCATCCCATTCCTAAGCAAAACTGGGGTTCTGTTAGCCTGGAATATTGAGGGGCATTGATTGGGCAACCAGTGACATTTGCCACAAAGTGCCAAAATCACTGTGCCAAGAATCCTACTTGGTGAGGAAAGTGATACCTTTCCATTGCACTTCAGGCATCTCCAGATCCCCAAGGAATGCATTCTTCAGAGTTCTGAGGAGCTTGCTGCATGGAAAAGGTAAGTGCAAGTAATGGGAGCATCAACCATGTGTGACGCCCCCCATCCCCATGCCAGGTGCTGGTCTAAGCCTGTACAGGAATGTCTTCCCTTCTCACCTATGCCCAGATTATGGGTTCACTTTCAGGGGACACAGAGGGGCCAAGCTACATGCTTCCCCTAGGCTGTACCTGGCTGGGCTGCAGTGTTGATACCAGATCCATCTGAGGCCTGTTGACATACTCACCCCCAGGCTCCTTGAGCTCAGCTTGCTGGCCAAGCCCTGCTAACCTCACAGATGGTGAAAGTGAGTGGTATTCAACGCCAGCTGGGAGTGGCTCTTCCAACCAAGGAACTTGAGCTGGGTGACAGCTGGAGCGGCCTGCCTTGGGCTACAGCTCTGTGCTAAGGCCTGATGGCAGCTTGCCCAGTTGGCTCCAAACAAAATCCCCCAACTCCAACTCTATTATCCAACAGAACACATAGTCAGCTGTTACAGGCAGGCGGTTGGAAAATGCTAGAGCTTCGCTTTATGTTCATTCTTCTGTAAAACGATTGTGAAGAAATATAACAAGGCCCTAATTCTGTAAGTGTAGATAATTAGCGTAGTATTAGAATTAACTAAGGAATTTGCTAAAATTGGACTTCACTAGAAGCTGGTGCCAACTCGGGTATGCCTTTATTTGGGAATTACTTTGCTCATTTTCACAGGAATTGGAAAGAAAGTGGCACTTGGATGTGGGTGGGCTCTAGCTGCCTTCCAGCATCCATCTCTGAGCTCATATACTGGATTCTTTCCAGGTCTTCGTGATTGCTTGTCCCTGAGTCCAGGAAATGAATAGGGAAGATCTGCTTGATCAGATGTGGAGTGAGCACTGTCATGGCCTCATTGGCCCCTCCAGTGCCCCACCTCACAGGAGGCCTCCATATGTCACAGCCAATGGTTAGTCCTCAGTTCTAATCCAGCTCTACTCTCACCACACTGCGCCCCACCCAGCACCTCCCCTCCCTCAAGGAGCTCCTCCTGGGCTGCTCCTCCTTATTCTCCTTTGTGGGCCACTTAACTTCTGCCTCTTTAGGCCCTTAAATAGTCTTAGATTGAACCTTTCCTCAGGTGGGGACCCCATCCTAATCTCCTAGTGCATATACTATTCTGCTTTTGGGACCTGAAGCCTAGGGCATCTCAGGGCTGCCAGTTTTCAAATAAATTCCTTCTGCCAGAACCTTGATAAAGGCTTGGGGCACCCTAGTCTGTTAATAGGATCATCAAATACAATATAAGACACCAAATTAAGTTTGCCTCTCAGATAAGTAATGAATAAGTTTTTATAGTCCTGGGTGTCAAACTACCCTGGTCAGCCTACTTTCTCATTTGCTCCTTCAGGCAGTCTGCTGACAGTCATGGGCAGGCAGTTGGCAGCATACCTGGCTGGGGGCACCTGTTCCCAGGTCATGCTGAGACCTCAAGGAAGGCCAGGCTGCTTATAGGAGCCTCTCTTAATCAACTTTTGAACCCTAAGTGAGCCAAACCATGCAGGCCAGATGGTGCCCATGTCTGCCACTGGCATCCATTCTGGATTCCTTCTTGGTCTTGAGTGCAAAGATGATTTTCTTCTCTGTTCCCTGGGTGGCTAATGCAGGTGCTAGGCTAGGCCTGATGTAGCTGTGAAGCCATGAAGCATGGCTCTCTCATCAGATGGCTGTGGCAGGTCTCTGGAGGTGTATTGTTTTAAAAGCACTGCATGGAGCCAGTTTTCACCCAAATTGTCTAACCAAAACCTTCGAAGATGCACCTCCAATCCCGTATGGTCAGTCATCTCCACCTGTCAGACTCCAGCTTACGTTAGGGTCACCTTTAATAAGACTGCCTTCAAGAAGCATTGCCTCATCCCAATTAAATTGTGTTCCTCCACACCCTCTCCCAATACCCTCCAAACCCTTTTCCTCCAGGACCTTGTCAGATAGAGAACTATCCAACCATGGGGGTTAATGCCTATTCCCATCGCCCATAACATAAAACCTGCCCCACAGCAGAGACCTATCTCCTGGGTCCACTGCTTTGACCTGAAACCCCCTTTTCAGCATGAACTAGGAGCCCACTGGCTGGCATGTTGGAGGGGTAGTAAGTACAGCTATGGAGGTGGGGGGGTGGGAAGGGAAGGGACTACCTTGTGGGACTGTGGGAGGGGGCCTCAGGAGGAAGCTGGCTGGCATCTGGATGTAGGTATATTAAGGAAAAGACCCACTCTCTCCAGACACATTTTGTAAACATCTTTCTCTCTGGAGGAATTGGTGACTTTATCTGGACAAGAGCTAGTGTACTAGAGTGCCAGGAATATTTTCAATTAGTATGAGCTTGAAATCTTTTAGACCAGAGTTTTTAACACTTTCCTGGGACCATTCCACC